CAATAGTCTCGTGGGACAACTTGATCAACTGGCCTCGTATAGTTCATAAAGTTTATGTTCTACATCCTAGCCTGGTGAGTAGCGTCTGAGGTATTAAAAGCTTGCGAGCAGCCATCTAAGATAGAACTATTGGTCTCTACTCATCTGAAGCAAAAGAGAAAGGAAATCAAAGATACAACCAAGAAACTAGTCTACAGGACTAATAGTCTACATGAACCACAGCCTCATCTTCCCTAAGACCAGAAGAAGCAGATAGTGCTCGGCTATCACTACCAACTGTTCTCATTAGGGCCACAATAGATGGACCCTGATAGAATGGGAGAAAAATGTGGAACAGAAACTCAAATTCTTAAAAAATCTAGACTTACTGGATCAGCTGAGACTGCAGGACTCCCCAACACTATTGCCCTGAGATACTCTTTAAACTTTGAACCAAAACTAGCCCCTTTTAGCTAAATAACAGATTGGCTCACAAAATAAAGAGTATCGCCCATGGTTACCGAGCTTCTTTAAAAAATCTTCCACGGAGATCAAATGGTCAACAATTACTCTAAAACGAAGATGAGAATGTTAAGGGGGCAGGCAAACTAGATTAATGGAAATAGAACAATCAGAAAGGAAATGAGAATGTTCATGCATTGTGAAGGATGTAACCAATGTCACTGAACAATCTGAGTAAAAATTGTTAAAACTGCTGTGTAAACCTTCACCCAAAACACAATAAAAAAATTAAAAAAAAAAAACAACAAGCAATGGATTCCCCGAGCTCAGTGTTCCTCAGATGCAACCCAAACTCCATAGCATCCATCTGGGCCCATCACGTCACATCCATGGGAAATGGTAAGGGGAAACCAAAGCAAATATGCTGCTTGCTGTGCCTTTGTCTATAACCTGGGAGCCTTGTGTCTTCTGCCAGCATCCATGACACAGTAATAGACTAACTTATTAGCATGCAAAGACAATAAAAATCAAATCCTGGACCTGACATCTACCACTGAGTCCAAGTCAATGGAAGCATCAGTGTAACAAAGAAGGGAAAAGGCATGAAGTCAGAGTACTTATTCCCGAATCCCTCCCACAGTCTGTCTGGGTGCCAGTAACCTCTCCTTCTCCTCATCCCTTAAGGCCTAGGGATAATAACTGCAGTGTTGCTGCTGCTACTAGTACTGGGCTACTGCACAATCCCTTGTGGTTTCCACACACCCCACTCATACCTTGGTAATGAGTCCCTTTGTAAATCAAACCAAACCAAACTCATTGCCAGAGTCAATTCCACCTCATAGTGACCCTATAGGACAGAGTAGAACTGCCCCATAGGGTTTTCAAAGAGCAGCTGATGGATTCAAATGGCTGCTTTTGGTTAACAGCCAAGCACTTAACCACTGCGCCACCAAGTCTGCCTTCTAAAATTATCCTAATTTGAGTGTTGCCATCTGTTTCCTGTTGGCAGCACCCTGACTAACAGAAGCAGTTAAATCAGGGTCCAGCAAGTTTGATTATGTTGTCGCTGAGAGGCCTGTAGAACATCCCAAATTAGAGTTCCTTGAGGAAGGGTGCCCTGGACAAGAAATAACCTGCCTTGACACAAGTAGATTAGAGGAATAGGCAGTTGGTGCCACCTTTGTACATTACGCCCCAACAAACAGGCCTCTTCTTTAATAGTTTAGACCAGTGGTCAGTAAACTTTTTTCTTAAAAAGGTCAGATAGTAAATATTTTAGATTTTGCAGGCCACACAGTGTCTGTCACAACTACTCAACTCTGCCACTGTACCACAAACGCAGCCATGGGAAATATGTAAACAAATGAGTATGGTTATGTTCCAATAAAACTTTATTTACAGAATAAGTACATGAAATAAATACCATTTACAAAACAAAACTGGCTGTGGTTTGCTGACCCCTGGTTTAGACCAACATTCCAATAGAAATATAATGGAATATATATTTATAGTATATGTATACGCAATACATATATACATGCAATATATATTTATAGTAGTCACATTAAAAAAGTAAAAAGGCATACATAAAACTAATTTTCATAACACACTTTATTTAAATCAATCCAAAATATTAATATTTGAACATGTAATTAATACAAAAATTGAGGTATTTTATATTTATTGTACTAAATTTTCTAAATCCAGTGTGTATTTTTCACACTTAAAGTACATCTCAGCCTGGACGCTAAATTTTCATCACAAATACTTGATGTGTATTTAGATTTAATAAAATTTACAAATGAAAAGGAATCCCTGTGTGGCACAAGAGGTTAAGCACTCAACCACTAGCCAAAATGTTGGCAGTTCGAGCCAACCCAGAGCTGCCTGAGAAGACAGCACTGGAGATCTGCTTCCAAAAGGTCACAGCCTTGAAAACCTGATGGAATAATTCTACTCTGCACACATGGGGTCACCATGAGTCGGAATCAACTTGACAGCAACTAACACCACCACCACTACAGGTGAGAAAGTAACTTTACTTGAAGTTTTCGAATAACTGGATTATCAATTTTCAAATTTAAATTTTAGAGCAGCTCTTTTTTTTTTTTAATTGTACTTTAAGTGAAAGTTTACAATTCAAGTTAGACTCTCACACAAAAATTTACACATACGTTGTTATGTGACCCCAGTTGCTCTCCCAATACCGGGACAGCACACTCCTCCTTTCTACCTGATTTCCTGTGTCCATTCAACAAGCTCCTGATCCTCTCTGCCTTCTCATCTCACCTCCGGACAGGAGCTGCCCATACAGTCTCACGATTCTACCTGAGCTAAGAAGCACACTCTTCATGAGTATCATTTTATGTCCCACCATCCAGTCTAATCTTTGTCTGAAGAGTTGGCCTCGGGAT